AATAAGAGTATATCATGTAATTCAAGCTCCTATATCAATAAATAACTTTCATCTGTTATAAATTATAATCAAACCGATGGATGAGATCTGAACATTGACAGAATGGAAATAGAATTCTTTACAATGACTTACTTGGCCCATCACAAGTTTGTAAAATGCTGTCGAAAGTGGCAAGTCCAGAAGTCGTCCATCTTGTAGAGCTTTTGCCATTGTCCGACCAGCCAGACGGAAATATTCAATAACTTTGGAAAACTGGCTACCATCAGAGGTATCTGCACTAGGGGGCCAAGGACGAGGAAATAAGCCAAGGGGGGCTTGAATAAGATCGATTCTTCCATCAGGTAACTCTGTGCCTGGTTTCTTTGTTTCTGAACCATAATCACTCCTTCCACCATCTGTTTCATCCCCATCAATTTGCATTGCAGAACTTTCTGATGCAGAGTTCGACCTCCATAAACCCAATTTGACCTTCTGCAAGTCATGACTTAAAAGGGTATAGAACTCTAAGGTTGGACCCAATCCTGTGCCGACTTCACCAAAATATTCAACTTCAAGAACAGCTTTTTGACTAGAATACATCTCCATAACCTTTACAGCAGAATCCAAGATACGATTTCTAGAAACACGGACCTTTTGTCTTTGCAGTCTGCCAACACGGAACTCTCTTTCACTAGCTGAATTCTGATTGTCAGAATTCTGTTGTTGCTGAAGTCGGCGCAATGCACGAGATATACCAAAAGCTGTCGAGTAGAAATATTGCCTCCTGGTTTCAAATGGAAAAAGAAAAGGACATGCTTTTGTCAACTGATAACACCATGGAGGAAGACTACCACTACATAATGCGAGAGCATCCTGAATTTGCCGAGCAAGCTTCGGAGTCAACTTTCCATTCACAAACTCTTCTGGCAGAACCTTTGGACCAATCCTATAAAGTTTATCCAGGTTTGAAATTTTTCCCTCAGCAAACTCATCGGATACTGCCTGCATCCTTAGACGGGTTGATAGTTGATTTAGACTGTCCAACACACGCAATAATGCCAATATATTATATGTAGGATTCGATCGTTCTAGATCACAGGGAAGCTCCCCTTGCAAGATGCTGTCAAGAAGTGAAATTTCTTGCCACTTATTGTCACCGACAGAATCGGAAGCGAAGGCAGGTTTCGAAGACTTTGACAGATTTGAACTTCCCTGGGAAGCTTTGTCAACCTGCCCATCAGCCTTCTGATATGTTATGGTAAATATTTCACCCCATAAGCTATTGCCATCACTGGGAAGATCAGAGCCATTAAATTTTTCATCACCCTCTTCATTGAGAATAAGTTGGCGTTGAAAAGCTTGATATACAGTAAAGTGCTTGCTAAGCTGCTTCCCTCCTGCTGTGAATATCAATTTATTTTGATGGTTACTTTTAGTGCTAAAAGAGGCAAGTCCACGATAATCTCGACCAACTCTGATACCTCTGCCACCAATGGAAGCAAGTCCTGCCATGGCAGCAGCAGCAAATGACATTGCACCTCTGGAACCAAAAGCACTTTCCCTTTGGAGTTCAGTATATTCTGCCCCTTTGTCTGTGACAGACCTGTCACTGGAACCAGATGTTGTTTGCACTTGGTTATCACTTGCTGAACATGAAACAGCACCATCATCAGCAGAATCTCCTAATTTGACATCATGTACCTTATCTGGTACACAAACAGGAAGAGAGTCATCTCTAAACACCTGAAAGAGTAACAATTATCAGTATCCGCAATAATTAAATAGAAATTGTAAACAACACTGACATGTATGCATGTAGAACTTAAAAATATTTTTTTCTAGATCCTAACAAGTAGATTCTTCATGTTGACATATGTTTATTAGTCCTAAATTTAGTTGAACACACATATAAGTTCTTAATCAATTTAAAGAAGAGGAAACCCTCCGTAAGATTACAAAAAAGTTACAAAATATTCATCACCATGACCTCATGATCATCTTCCTCATCAGAGACATCATCATCCACAATCATAAGAGTGTCATCCATCTCAACCGGAGACATGTCCAAATCTTCATCCTGCGGTCATTTAAGGCTATTTTTATTAATAAATGATGATGTAAAAAATGAAAAATAAATAGAGAGCTCAAATAAAACTAAAGATAGAAAAGAGTTCAACCAAAAAATTAGTATCAAGTCATCATGCAGCCAAAGTTAAAGAGCTATATCCAATGAACCATCCAAGCAATCACTTAAGAAACTTGGTAATGATACCATAAGAAGCCCATCTTCATCAGGTATGCTATTGTTCACATACCACATGGTATACTTGCAATCCTTACTTGCACTCATATATGCAAAATAAACACGGTGAGCTAGATCAAGCACTTCAAATATTTGAAAAATCTTAATTAAACATAATTAGGCAAAAGCAAATAATAAGATATTCGGAAATTTTCATTCTGCAAACCACATTTTAGCAAAATCACAGTCTAGAACCTGCACTATTGATTGTTACATTTCACAACCCATCTTTTTCTATACAATTAAATTTCCTACCCAATAGTTAACATATGTTAGAAGAAATGAGTATATTCATCCCAGCATACCACTTGAATGTTTAAATTTGTCAGTTAGAAAACATATATACGTCCACTATATAAAATTAAAAAAGTCATCTCCTACATAAAATTACCTCCACTGCAAGCTTCTTTTCTCCAAGGGAGAAGGCCACCTCTGCCTCTCCTCTCTCACTCATCTCATTCTTCAACCAAGTTTGTATAGAACAATGAAAATCAATCATTGCTCCTATTGGATGGACTTTATATGCTAATCAGATGACAGTCACTTCACAAATTATCGAATTTTAACATGCCATCTTGGATGTCTATTCTTGTGCATCTATCATAAGATGCTCCTTGTTTGTCTAGGAACTTTTGTGGAAGGATAATTTGAAAGGCAACGAGCCCAATCATCACCATCGGGACTGTGTCGTAGGGATAGATAAATGTTGGACCAGAACACAGGGGTACCATGTTTACAATCACTGATTTAGAAACAGGACAATATGAGTAAAAGTATTTATTTAATTAGTTGCAACCTATAAGATATAATGTTCTTACAAATTACAATTTGTTTCAACTATCAAAATGTTAGCAAGGCCATACATACAGACACTATATGGAGACCAGCTCCAGCCAATGTGCTTTGTTAAGTCTCAAAAAAATTGTCAGAAAAAGTTCTGCGAAAGAGTCTCAGTGGTCAATAAAATAAATTGCATTATTAATGAACTCCATTAAATAATTTGATGTTCTAATTCATCAACTGGTCACCCATCCTGGAGAAATATTAGTTGATCCATACTGTTGCATCACATCATTTGATTCTGTGATCCTTCAAGGTAACTGTACCAGATCACCTTATTAATAGCCTTGTAATTGTAAAACTAAACCTTCAGAAATTAATGTCTATACACTTGGGAAAGACGTAAAATTGACTGAGATGTGTAAAGTTTAAACATCTTACGGCACAATGAACATAAGTTATACCCTCATAGATGACCAGCTTAGTTAGAGTATTAAACATGTTCACACAATAGTTCGTATTTGCTCATATACCCCATAAAATTTCATCCATGGTAACTCAACCAATTTCCCTAAAAATATATTCAGTTGATCCTTTAGAGTGCACAGAAGTATAAAGCATGCCATGTACCACCTAGATATGCATCACAGGGAAATAAAGATTGACATGCTGATGTACAACATGTGAACCATGCCAAAAAGCGAACCAGTCTAGACACTCTACCAAGTACTTCAATGCTTGTTTAAATTATTGCACCCTTGATCTGTCTGATTTCATCATCATAATAATCTCTGGTTCACTTGAAGATGAAACCTATTTCTTCCTTCGAATTACTATTGTAGACCTGGATCCTAATTTTAAAGCCCCAGCATATATAAAATGTGTAGCAATAATAATTCAAGCCTTGTTTTAAACCTTGAAATTCTAACAACAGTGAACATCTCAAACTATGGGGATTCAACATCCATAAAAAAATCTGCCACAGCAATATGATAGCAAATGACATGGATTTTATAGATGAATACAAAAGAACATGATCTTTATTAGAATTAAAAGTGTTTTTAAGTATGTAACTCAATGCAGTAGCAAAAGCTTTAAGACATTTCAAATTTTAAGTATTAGAAAAAAAAGGAAAGGATTCACCCCCAATCCTAAGTAAATCAATCACTTGATGCAGTGTCCAGCAAAGTAGAAAGTGTGGCAAAGCATATGATATTCAAGCTTAGCATGAAAACAATAGTGCAATGATTTATTCAAGTTTTTTATGCTAAATATATCTTATGACATATATTCCTAAGAAGCTATGGAATCTATAATATTTTGGACGATCGCAAGACCATGCATAACTATTCTGTTACTGAGAAAATGTGAGTCTAATTATTAGTTAGGGGTTCATATGTAGGCAACAGGTTATGGCTTTTTACATATCTATCTCGAAAGATCCATATACCCGATCCAAATGGGGATTATGTGCTGGCTACAAGTTACGTGCAACTATTTCGAATGATTGGAATTTCAAGTTTTAAGAACTTATGAGCATGTGAACATCAGAAATACAATAAATTATTTAGTAAAGGAAGTAAATATCGTGGACAAACCTCAGAGCTAGATTCACTCTGTGAAGGTTTTATTTCCATCTCTTTATCTGATGCAGCTCTTCTACGGGCAGCATTTCTTGTTTGAGGTCCTCTTAATTCATCAGGAGTACATTTCAGGACAGCCTTACCCTTCCCTTTAGAAGAATTGGCACTTCCATCTGAAGCATCTTTTTTAGCTGGAACTCCAATTGTAACTGATGACCTAGACCTGGTTGAAGGACGATGTCCAGGAGTTGGTGGTGTCGGAGCAGCAGATCCAACAGCAGCTCCAGAATCAGAATTGCCTGTTGATGTTGAAGACTTCGGAACAGAGTCACTTCGCTGAACTCTTGGCCAAAGGAATTCTTCAACCGCAGCTAGACTTGCTAGAGGATCAATTAGTACCACATTCGATGAATAATCACGAAGAGATTTTTCCCCTTGTGCTCGACATAAACGCAACTTAAACGGCTGAAATAAGGACCCTAGACCTGAGAAGCGTGCGCTTCCACTACTAGATCTAGACAAATGACTAATTACAACTGGAAAATGTTCTAAAGAAGATAAAGAATTCTGAAGCTTCTGAACCAACAAACTCATGGGAGTTCTATTTCCTTCCTTAAGTTCCATAGGCAGTGCCGTTGCAATAAAGAACTTGTACCGTTGCAGTGCTTGCTGTCGAAGCTTTGGTAAATTAGCTTCAGAGATTTTTTCTCTTCCAAATGTTCCACAAGTAAAATAATCTAGCAATGCCAGAACAACTCCACTGCCAATAAACTCAAAAGTCGATACACCATCGCCTTTGCAAAGTTCAGCTAGTATATCTGCTATTACTTCATCTAGCTGTTCCTCGCTACTAAAAGAAACATCAAAGGAGCACAACCCAAGTGCTTTAGATTTACCTTTGGATTTTGACCTTGCATCTTCAACAAGGGAATTTAACTTTGAGCAAAGATTTTTCAAACAAAGAAGATCTTCTGTGAGTCCTGCTTCAACTGCACTAGAACCTGCTGGAAAATACTTCTCTTTAAAAGCCTTGGCATGAGCACTGACAGCAGCACGAAGACTAGAATTGGCATTTGGAACCTCGACTGAAGGCAGAGGTGAGACAGAAATTTCTGATGAAGATCCTTTTGAGTCGTCAACTGAGCTATTTTCTGTGTTCAAGCCACCACTACACCGTCGACTACGCCGAGAACGCCAAGTTATTCCAGGTAAAGCATCATCATCCTTTTCACAGATGGGCGCCAGAGAAGGATCAGAGGATATTAGTATATCCACAGCATGAACAACCCCTTCTCTCACAAACATCTTGGAAAATGTTCCAGGGAGCTTCTCCATGAGAATCTCAGCTATCTGAAGAGCGGGGATCAAAAGTTGTGGATCTTTCCATGCTAAAATACCAGCTAAAAAGCTGCAACCAACATAACAGAGGTCAGTTATGCCACTTAGAATAGAATAATATGGCAGCTACCATGCAAGAGGTTCTAAAAGGGTACATGATTTATGGCAAAGCATTTCATGGAGACTGGTAAGGTACCTGGATATGTTTGCTACACTAAGCAAGGATTGGATCATATCCGCTGAGCTGAAGAACATCAACTTCCCAATTGTAGACAAACATTTATGACGGACAGGACCATTTATACTGGAAGAATATACCTGCTCAATAAGAGTCATAGGTGTCAGAGCTCAAACAAAACAAAAATTATCACAAACTCTGACCAAAAATGCCACAGAACCTGTATTAAAACCGGAAGTAGGTCCATTCCAAACTGCTGCAGAAGTTCAGGTTGGTCCTGCAATAATTTCCCATGAGCCGATACTTCACTTGTTGTTCCTTTAGGTTCGGCATGCTGACCAGAAGAACTAGGAAGAGAGTTTTTGGCAGCTGATCCTTTCACAAGAACATTAGAAGGCAATGGCAAAGAAATAGTTCCTTGAGGCACGGAAGGAAGAAGCTCATCCACAAGGTTCACAATCACATAAACCTTAAGGAAATAAGTGAAATAAGTTAATAACAAAACATCTAAAGCGAGAACTTAAATCTGCAGTAAGTGAACAGAAAATATAAATATTATTCCTTAAAGAAACTACTTTTGACACCAAAAATATCATAACAGCATGCTATTTATCACATAGACAGCTGCTCAAGATAGTAAATGCCAATCGTATAAAGAATATCATAGAAAAGGTATACATAATTTGCTTCTTTGGGAATATAAACTACCACCTGCAAGCATCATTTGGTAGGAAGGTAATGAATAACTGAGGAGCCTTTATGAACATGAAAAAATTAAAAAATCAGTTGTATGATGGTGCAATGCGCCTAATGTTAATATTTTAGTTGCATGGGGCCACACATTAATGGAACTTGTCGGAGACCAGGAGGCAGAATGACTGCTGAATGGAATCCGTATACATTATTTATGCCCATGCATCATGATATTCCGCCATAAATATTGTTAGCACATGTGATATGTGGGTATACCGAGCAGCCACCGTACAGTAAATGGGTGTGTGTTGAATGTATCCATTTAGCAATAATAGCATAAGCATCAGGTTCATTCATGGTTCAGGCAGCATAGTGCTAATGCTAACCATTCCGATCCTCCATTTAAGTATCTGGTCAAGGCCAGGAGAAAAATAATATTTGCAATCAACTAACGGAACTCTCTTAAGCTTGAGATAATATAAGAATGCCGCTTTTGGCTCCAACAAGGATAAATCACTCACATATATAGGATTGTATTGGACACTCTCGACATGCCATAGAACCTCGAAATCAAATGAGAGAACACCGATGGTGCGGTGGAATCAGAATGATAAATACAGTCCAAAAAAACCCATAAAAAAAGATCAGCAAATAGATGATCAATAGAAAAAAGCCGCTATCCACTAATCTGTACACTCCTATCACCCATGCGATATTCATAATGTGAGTTCAATTTACATAGCTCAATATACAAACAAGGCAATCAGTTAAAAATTAAACAGATAAAGACTTAATCCAGACTGTATCAAACTAATTATAGTTACACATACAATCATTATTCTCTGCTAAATTTTCTTATATACTTCCCCAAAGGCCTAACCGCACAACAATCCAACTGAGACCAATAATCCACTAGGGGATATACAGGATTTGTTTAACTTTAGTATAAGCAGAAAGCTAGATAAGATTATCAACAATCTGCAAAGTATACAATGTCAACACTGTTGAAAGTCAAATTTATATGCAAAAAGTAACCAAATTATCAAAAAATTTCTAAAGAACATGATTTCTGCATGCGATGTACAAGGATAAAAGATAAGAAAAGGATGTCAGCAGAGAAAGGACTCATTGAATGTGTTAGACATCAAGAAGAGAAACCCCACTGTCCCACATCAGATCCTAGCTTTACTCCACTAAGCTAAGTGATAAGTTGGAGTACTCATAAAAGATAGAAATCATCATACTGATGAAGAATATTCTTTTTAATACCTGGTCTGGCTAAAACATGCTAGTTTGCATAGCTGACAAGGTTGAATGATAACCATATTTTTTGTGTTAGCTCAATTTGTAAAACTCAAGAAGAATAAGTTGGAGTACTTATAAAAGATAGAAGTCATCATACTGAAGAAGAATATTGTTTTAATACCTGGTCTGGCAGAAACATGCTAGTTCGCATAGCTGACAAGGTAGAATGATAGCCATGTTTTTTTTTTTTTGTTAGCTAAATTCGTAAAACTGAAGAATAAGTTAAGTTGGAGTAATCATAAAAGATAGAAGTCATCATACTGAAGAAGAATATTCTTTTAATACCCAATCTCGCCGAAACATGCTAGTTTGCATAGCTGACAAGGTAGAATGATAGCCATGTTTTTATTTGTTAGCTCTTTTAAAGATGGTTTTCTCATTCAGCCACATTAGGCATGCTAACATGATAAGGCTTTCACCAGACACCATATAGCAATACTCTCACAAGAATAGGAAGCAAAAAACACAATAAATAAGAGTACCTGCTCAGGTGGTCTTGTTAAGGAAGGTGAAACAGAAGAACCGGATACAAGCCCAGAACACAGAAGAATGTCTCTAAGTGTGGCACTGATTCCTGAAAGAAGAAGGGTTTTCGCAGCTAGAGGAGATCCACTAGCACATGTAGAGAGAAGACGGAGTATACCCTGAAATGAACATTAAAGAAAGACATAAATAAATTTGAAAAGTAGTCTTCATTCTTAAATGAAAATAGTAAACATGCCTACCGTGTATGTAGACGTGCTAAGGGAGGCTTGTCCTCCTGAATTACCAAGAGATATAAGGCCCGCAGCTTGTGCAACCAATCCATGATTACACAATTCATCTATTTTATCAGGAGATAATGCAAATGCTTCTGCAATTCGCGTCAAGCAGACAGAAGCATGCTCTACAACCTTTCATTGAAATTAGCAGTTAATAAGAAATCAATAACAGGAAAAAGAAAAACCGTTCAACAGGATCCTCAGCAATCCCCAAGAAGTTAGTTACTTTACCTTTGAATCATGATAGTTGAGAAGGTTACTCAGCAATGGAACTGCTTCCATTACAAAATCAGCTGCATCAGATGGGAGTTTCTTACACATATTTGCTGCAGTGGATAACGCAACTCTCTGGAAAGGAGATTGAAATTAAAATAACAAGGACATGACCACGAATATAAATAGGAACTAAAATAACAACCAACAGCCATCCAACGAGATATCAGCTGGAGTTTGAAATTGATGAAGATTCAATTACCTGAACTCCTGTGGAAAAGAAATCAAGATAAGATAGCACAGCCATAAGTGCACCAGCACGTAAGCAAGCAGTTGGATGCTCTTGTGATATCTTCTTGAGAGCTTGTAGGGACTACAAAATATACAAGCAAATTAAATCATCAAATTGTAACTGGTAGTGAACTTATATTTCAGATTGAGTGGCAAATAGAAATCATTTAGTTCATAAGAAATTGTTCATCAGCAACAGTTTCCAGCCAAAATTCTGAGGTTAACATTCATGACTCAAGGACAAACTAAAAACACATCTTATTTATCTTCATCCCATGGTCAAAAATCATTTGTATATTTTTTAATTGCAGATACAACAACTGAATATCTAATTGAGGAATAAAACAAGTTCAACCTTCTTCAACATATGTTAGCCAATGAAGTCACAAATTATCCCATCTAATGCAGTAGATACTCAAAGCAGAACACATATCTGATCCACTAGCTACTAAAATTAAAATATAAAATAAATACATTGTGAAAAAAATTGATAGAGGGTTGAACAATTTGCTTTTTTTCACTTTGAATTTCATTCCTAATCTGCAACAGCATTCAGAAAAATCAAATAACATATTACTTGGGTAATCCATGTTGGATTTCCATGCCACATGGGATCTATAAATAATAAAACCAAGGTAGAAAATTAGGCATAACAGATATAGGAAACCAGCGCACCTGTTCTGCCAGGTCCATGTACTCTATCGTAAGAAGTCGCGCACAGAAACAAGGAATAGCGCCATAACGAACCACAGCCGAGCAAGATGAAGGTAGAACATCACATAAGTAGGTGAGAGCCCTGGCAGCGAGTAGCATGATGTCGGGATTGCTCTCATGGTTGAGAAGCCCCACGAGCACAGGCACGAATGAGTCAACCGACATCGACAGAAGAGAATCCTCAGTCCCAATGGACAACATCTCACAAAGCTGGTTCAGCGCCTCGAACTGTTTTCCCTCCTCTCCATCAGCCCTCAGACCTGACAGGATCTTTTTCAACCGCCCGCTCTGCTGCAAGGAAGAAGAAGCCGTCAAAGCTGACGACGGTAGGAGATCGTCAAACCCAGCGCCCAGTTTTCTGAGAAGCCCCTGAAGGGCGCTGCTAGCGGATGTCAGATTCTGATGGAGGATGCCAAGACCGCCATCGCCGTCGTTATCATCATCTGCTCCTCCCCCGTCAAAGCTCAACCCTAAGATCCTTTCAGCGTCCCTGTCCCTCTCTCTCGCCCTGGATGCCCCCGCCTCCTTTCCTTTGTCAGAGGCATCCCGGTCGCGATCCCCTGAGGGCTGACGACTCTTTCCAGAAGTGCGGCGTCGGCGGCCGATAAAGTCTCCGCCGGAAGAGTCCATGACTGCGTTGGCAACGGCGGAGGACGAGGAAGATGGCGGAGACGGCGGGGGGTTCTGGGACCGGCGGGAGCGCGTCGAGAGGGCCGGGGGAGCCTGGGAGGAGAGAGCGATGCGGGGGCGCTTGGCGGGTCGGGGAGCAGCGGGAGGGGTCTGAGAAGAGGGCGCCGACGAGGAGGCCTCCGCCCGCTTCCGGCTGCGTGTTTCCATACAAAGAAGAAAAACCTCCTTCGCCCCTAGGCGGAGGCGGCGGCGGCGGCGGCGATCAAGAATCGACCGAGGGCATCTCCGATCTAAAATAATAATAGTAGTAGTAACGCAAAGATCGAAGCTCTAACCGAGGGGAGGGACCGGAATCGATCGAAATCGGCGGAGATCTCGACGAATCGAGGTAGGTTTTCTAGGGTTCCTTCGACGTGACCAAGGATTTCGAGAGACGGGGCCGAACCAGAGTTCGATGGGGGAGATCGAAGGATTCGGAAGAGGGGCTAAGGAGGGGAGGGGATTAAAAAGCTCCCGAACGCCTTGTATCCGCTCGTTACCGAATACCAACTCGAATTCAATGAAACGGGCCCCCATAATATAAATGGGCCGAGCTTACAACTCCAATTCACTGATCTCAAATTGGGCCTAATTTCTCAATCGGGCCCAATATAAAACCCAATCGCATTAACCATCATATGAATTAAAAAATAATAAAAAATAAACTCATATAGTTAGTCCTTAATCGACCTCATTAAAGTCCATTAGAGATCCTAAAGGAACTGTTAAGCAGTCCACTTAAGCATGCAAGAATGCTTCCTTTCCTTTTAATTAACGTTCATTTATCTTCACTTCCTTGCACACAAATTTTGCGAGTTAATTAGATTGAAGCTCGATCAATTCACGAGATCTAATACATTATTTTTGGGATTTCTTAATTAGGTTCAATAAGTTATTGTATAATGCATTATGTTAATATGAAATCAAAACGATAGATTGATTGAGTTTTTAAATTTAAAATAATATATATTTTTTATAGTGATATGAGGATATTTTAAATTTAAAATAATGATGGAAATTGCTACATCATTATAGATCCTAATATAATATATTATCCAAAATATACATTTTTTTAACTATAAGTGGATAGAAAACCAAGGTTATAAATAGAAAGCATTGTGTCTAACACAAAGTTCATCTCTATCTTCATGAAAACTTTTATTTAAAAATAGATATCAAGTGTGAAAGAGACCTAAATGAGATTGTCATCTAATAATGATATTCTTTTACAAGAGAAAACATAAAGATCTTACTCATCTTTTCTCGATTTTCATGAAGGAACAAGTCGAGTTTAATAAGATCTTTAATTTCGAATTATTTATGTAGAGAAGCCTTATGATGTTGGTTTCTAATAATATTGTTCTCGATAATAATTATATCATCTAAAGGATAGTGGTATTGGTTTTATGTATTGCATACGTATCTCTTCCTTCGGTGAGATATTATATTTGATAAAGTTTTCAACGAAGTAAATAAGAGTTATAATTATAGTCAATCGTAAATATTTTTCTCATAATCAATATTATATTCTTAGATAAATCATTTCATAATAAGATAGATTTTGTATCGTTCGATAGTTCTATAGTCCTTATCTTATAAACTCATTTATATCATCTTATAGATTTTTCATAAGTTTTCTATAGATTTTTCATAAGGTAAGGCAACGTTTGAGTTTTGATAAGATAAGATGGATTAATGGAAGCCTTTTAAGTAATAAGCAAAGTTCATATATAGTGCCAACAACAAAATAACAATGAAGAACTTTTAAATGAGTAGAGGGTTGACATGCTTTTTTAGAACAATGAAGAACAGTATTATGAGAATTTGTGTCCAAAACATTTGTCATTGGACCATCATATACAACATTGATGGGAAAAAGAACACACAAAATATTTATGAATAATAAAGTCTCAAAAGAGAACATGTGATCATTACATTTATATGCCTTGTATTCAATTTTATACCCAAGAAAACAACACAATCTTGATGGAGGTTGCAACTTATGATTGTCATGAGGTTGAAGAAGAAGAACAAAAAAACAAGCACAACAAAAAGAACTTTAAAGATTAAATAGTTTGGAGTTTTACAACTGTAAGTGTTGTAAGAACTGCTTCATCCCAATTGTTCAAATGGAGATTGTTGAAAAATATCAAAAGAGGAGGTACAATTAATTACACATGCAAGTATAAGAGAATGCTTCACCCAAAAAAGTCAAGAAAATAGAAGTAGAAAGAAGCATAACATATACAAAATTCAAAATGTGTCTAAATTTGTGTTTTATCCATCCATTTTGATTGAGATGTTTTTATATGTTCCGAGATGTAAATATTCTAAAATAGTTCCATGTGGATTAAAAATAGAAAAATTATCTTAAGATTTGTATTCGTGGCTACTATTAAAACAAAGAACTTTAATCATACGAAAAAAAATTAAGTTTTAATTATTTAAACAAATATATATATCAAATTCGGATGAAGATGAGAAGAGAAAAGATAGCATTGGACGCGTAATGATGAAGTACTTCACCAAGCACAACTAGCCAAGGCGAGAAGAGGCAAGAAGAGGAGTCCTAACTAAGGTACCAATAAGGGTGCGGAGGAAGAAATAGAAAGATGAAGAGAAGGAAGAGCGCCACATGGGGGCGGGTTTGTGAGCGGTAAATAGAGAATGAGGGATAGTATCGCATTACAAAATATGAAATTGTACGATTTCAAGAATAAACATAAGAGAGGAAAGGGGAAGATAGATTAGATACAACCACGGATGTGCATTGCCAAACTTAGAATCTAAATACGAGTCAAGTTATCACTACCACCAAATTAAACAAATAATTGCTAATTAAATTGACTCATTGATTATCATAACTATGGCTATTGATGCAGTTAAAAATTTGGTGTCACATAATGATCATCATCATCAGTATTATATTAAATCACTAATTTATATTATCAAAAATATTTTCTTCCATTCATATGTAGCAGTAATTGAGTTAAAATTGAATAAATAAATAAATTATATTATATTATGTAAGTGTATATATTTTGTTAGAATTTAGAATTGAGAATTGATAGATGGGAAGGCAAGATGAGTATGATGGATTATTTACCATATTTCAAAATTAGATATATATATATATATATATATATATATATAACAAATATATTTATTATTATTGTTTAAAATATATGTTTAATTTTTATGAAATTAACGTTGGAACTTTGTCTACTAAAATAAACTATATTTTCAAAATTTTATTTAATTTTTAATAGGTCAAATGATCATATGAACAAAAAATAATATAACAATACAATATAAATAATTTAAATCTTAACTCACAAATTTTATTTTTGATATATAATTTTTCTCTTCAATATTTATTTATTTTCACATTTTTAATTCCTCCTCCTCCTCCTTAACCGTCTTTTTCTTCTTATCGTCACCACAGTGGTCCTAAGTGGGCCTTCGCCATCCCTCACCTCAAATAGATCGACCACGCCGCAGTGACGGCATGTCGACGGTGGTGGAATGCGGGAGAGACGAATGTGAGCCCAAATAGTCCACGAATTCTGATCACCAGATTTAGACCGGTCGAGAGCTCGATTTTTCGATTGGACCGGCCACGGCCACCAACCCCGACCTGTCTTGCTTTTCCGTGCGTGGCGCGGATTACCTCTGCTGTTGAAGACGCGATTCAGCTTTGTGCTCGAAAGATAAACGCCGTCGAAACGCGGGTCCCACTTTTCCGGTCCATTTATTGCGCTCGGAGTCCTCGAACCGTGAGCAGGGGGGCGCACGCGATCTGTTCCCGGTCAGAAAAAGCGAGTAAAAAAGAGGTAAGGAATCGCGGACCTTTTTCTTTAGCTTTTCCATCAAGGAATAAAGACGAGAGGGCGGGAATAAAGGGGGGGGCGCGACGTGGGTGCATTATTGGCCTTTGATTTGGTTTCGTCGGAGTAGTTTACCGTTCACGCAACCACCGTAGCGTCTTATCGCTGTGCGTTAGCTGTCGCAGGCGACCATTCGTACGGATGCACTCGTCGCTTTCCCCAACTCGTACTATTTTATGGCTCTCTTGTCCGCACAGTTCGTCCCATGCGAGCCATCCGCACCGTCAAGCCGCTCCCACCACGGCGACGCGTGGTTCGGTTTCCGAATCTTGAAGCGTGATCGCTGCTTAATAGCGACCCGGAAGATTCCCCCATCTCGCCGCCTCTCTCTCCCTCTCCGATTTGGTCGTAGATCTCGTGGATCGGCTCTGACACTGGTGCTCGCCCTCCTTCCCGGTCGATCGACGAGGTGCTTCGAGGGGCGGGGTGATGAATGTGAGGCGGTCTGCGGGGGATCTTTGATGTGCAGCGGTGGAAGATCGTGAGTGAGGAGGCGGGAGGGGGGAGGTGCGAGGGGAGAAGGAAGGGTTTTGGGGTGATTTGTGGGCGGGAAGAGGAGATCCGAGGAGGAGATGAGCGCGTCGAGGTTTATAAAGTGCGTGACGGTCGGAGATGGCGCGGTCGGGAAGACCTGCATGCTGATTTCCTACACCAGCAACACGTTCCCCACGGTGAGTTGAGGAGTCTCGACAACTCTTTGATGGTCTTGTGATGGCGATGATGGTAGAGCTAATGCTGTAGGATTTGCGGCGGGATGGGTCTCGAAGATTGGGTGTTCGATTGTGTTCTCAGTATGTTTAGCGCGACTCTGTTGCTCTTGGAAAGAAAGACATGCAAATTTAGGCCCTTTTCTAGTAGAAAATACCTAGTAAATTTTTTTGAGAAGAATTGTAGGGAAAAAGTATTTAGTCAAAAGATGCAACTGTTCGTAGAGCTGTTTATTAGAAGTTAGCCCCAAATGATGGAAAATCTCTTCTTTTCTTTTTGTTGTTATGAATTTTTTTTTCCTGTCATAGGTTACTGTTAATCAAACAATTTTCAAACTCAATTATTTTGAGAAGGAAGAAAATGAAGGGAAAGTTCAAGAACATTCTGTTTTCCATTTATTGTGGAAAAGATTGAGGCGAGACATCCATCTGTCTTACTTCAATATATCTAAGTTCTTTGAAATGATGCAAGGCATACAGCAAAACTAAAAAGAGAAAACAAAGATAGGAAAAGGAACATTAGTAGTAGAGATAGTAAAGAATCAACTATATTTAGATTTTCCACATTTCAAACTCCTGCATTGCCAGCATAAGCAAAACGTTCTCTAATCTGATACCGTGTTTAATATGGAAAGTTTCTTTCCTTCCATACGAACACAGATCTGGCTGCTAGTTGCAGAAATCAATTGCTTGTCTCATTTGATTTCTTCTTTCCCTTTCAAGCATATTACTACAAAAGCAGAATTTCATTCCTACTGCGGCTTAAAGTCATGACTTCATATACAAATTTAGTTGATGAGTGTGGCTTTTTAGGGTATTTTTGTTGTAGCAAATCATTTCTTTAATTCTGAGGGAAACAGAT